GGAAACCCAAGGAGGGGTCGCTATGAGTTGGGTCCAACTTGACGGCACATAACAACAACAGCAACAACTTATATGTGGAAGGAAAAGAAGAAGGAAGAAAGAAATTATAATATCCTCTAAACAAATAATCCCAGTTTAACTGTGTTACTTAAGTGAATTAATTATCTATATGGGACTCTTCCAGAACCACCCCGTCTGGAGGATGCAGGGAAGATGCTGAATGAGACTGTGGTGGTGAACAACCCCATACAGCTAGAGTGTAAGGCAGCTGGAAATCCTTTGCCTGGTATGTTTACTTTTGAACTCTGTAGCTTGTTAACATTTCAGAATTTCTGGGAATAACTGTTTACGAGCCTATTATGGTAATTACTAACAAAGGAAAGGTTATCAAAAACGTTTTAGGAGTAAAAAATTCCTGAGACCTATAATGAAAGATGAGATTTTAAAATTTTCATTGCTTTCAGTTGAATGAAATGATTTCTCCATTTAAATAATAGCTTAATCTTCTTGTTGTCCATATTGTGACCACAAACATCTCATGATATTTTAAAACATTTATGTTGAAAATACGTTTTTAATCTTTAATATTATGTTAATGAAGCTAACCCATTTGATTATAAATTACAGTCATTCTGATTAGAATATTCTTTGGTTTTGTTAAACATTCACAACACTGGTAAGTTATTCATATCAACCAATAATAAAATATTTGAAGGCTAACATTACATATTATATTTGGGTTTGATTATCAGATTTTTATAGATGAGAAGAATATACACAATGAAAAGAAATAGACTAGGTTGAAAATGTATTATCAAAGAATATTGAGACATTAAAGATAATATAAAGAGTATCCTTTTTTTCTAAATTCGTTTGTAGGACTCTTAGGAAGACTCGGCTCTTTAGAGATTCTTCCTCTGGATACCAAAAAACCAAACTCCAGATAGTCAGTCCTAAAGGGATATTTATTTAAACAAATTATATTTGAATGATAAGACCATTGTTAATATTCTAGTTCAACTCCAATTTAGTGTATGCAAATCTTTACACAGACTTTCTTCTCCCATTCCCCTTTCAGCTATTACATGGTACAAAGATAATCGTCCACTCTCAGGTTCCACCAGTGTGTCTTTCTTGAACAGAGGACAGATCATTGATATTGAAAGTGCCCAGATCTCAGATGCTGGCATATATAAATGTGTGGCCATCAACTCAGCTGGAGCTACAGAGTTATTTTTCAGTCTGCAGGTCTATGGTGAGTGCTGCCTTTTCATCCTGAGTTAAGGAAACATTCAACATGATTAAGTGTTTCTATAAAATTCTGATATAAACATTTTGCAGGGTATGTTATTATCACCTTTACTTAAAGGCACCGTGTTCTAAAACCCATGAACATTATTTCCTTATTCCTATTAAAATTCTCAATTTTCACAGGCTGTTGAACTTAAATTTGTTTCAATGGGTTGAAATAGTCATTGACGAACTTATCAAAAAATGACAATCAATGTACTTATAAATACTCTCTAACAGAATCATAGGTATTAGTTAAAGAACCATTTCCAAATAATTATCTTTAATATTGCCCTTAAGAAAAGTTGGTGATTAATATACTGTGGGGGACGGTGAGAAATCAGGAAATGAACATCTTACCCTCAACTCTGACATTATGAAACTGGATTTCCTAACAAAGTAGCAGACCTCCTTTTCCTGATCTGTGAAATGGAGGTATCGAGGCTTGTCCTACTTATTTCAATGACTCTGATTAAAATCTCTAATGAGAGATGTCAAAGATCTTTGTTGTTATTGGGTACCATCAAGTTGACCATAGCCACCCCTTGTGATGGAGCAGAAATATCCCATAGGGTTTTCTTGACTGTAACCTTCATGGAAGCAGATCACTAGGTCTTTCCTCTGTGGGGCCTCTGGATGGGTTTGAACCTCCAACCTTTTGGTTAGCAGCCATATGCTTACCTCTTGCTGTCATACCACCAGGGCTCCTTGTAAAAGGGTGTTTGTTTGTTTGTTTTGTAATTAAAAAAAAAAAAAAAAGGAAAGAAAGAAAAAAACCTATAAGGACACTTTGTGGAAAAATACATACTGTTTTCGTTATCTTGTGATGAAATACTCTGTGATGTTAACAGATCTTACTTTCATTTATTACACTTTTTCAGTGCCCCCATCGATTTCTGGCAGCAATAACATGGTGGCAGTGGTGGTTAATAATCTGGTGAGATTAGAATGTGAAGCCAGAGGTATCCCTGCCCCAAGTCTGACCTGGTTAAAAGATGGGAGCCCAGTGTCTAGTTTCGCTAATGGAATTCAGGTACCCTCTTTTAATCTTTGGTTAAATGTAGCACATGATCATACCATATTGAAAGTACAATTTTGTAACCCTGTTGAAGAGATTTAGAGAACAATGATTAACAAATGTTCCCCAAAACATACACACTTACATACACAAATACCAAAGTCACACAATAGGATTTTCAAAACAATTTGTTAAAAGCTCAGTAGTTCTAGGAGTCATCATTTGAATGGGCCCCTTACCTCACTCATTCAATACCTGCATTCATATTTGCACTATTTGTTTTAAGTACTTGTCATTTTTACTCACACCTCCCCGCATCACCTTCACCCTAAGAGATACCTTATACAAAGAATTGTTTATCAACAAGAACAGAAATTTCATGATGCAATTTATATTTAAATGTCTAGAAATAATAATGACTTGACAAACCATATGGAACAGCATATTTACTTTTCTAAAAACATCAAAAAAGAAAAATGAAAATAGAAGCATCATGAGAAATGAAATTTGGGTTAGGTAAAATCCTACTGAATTACACTGACTCAAAATTAAAAATACAATAGCAATATACCTAACATAAAGTTTGATTTATTTTATTTTCCCTGCAGAGAATGTAGTTCTCCTGACATTCTACTTTTATCTTTTCTTGAAAATCCAGTGCATACCCATTAGGGGTCATAGACAATCTAGAGTTAAAGGCAATATTCTAGAGGTACAACTAGATTAGTGAAATAAAAGGGCAAGGGATGTGACTAATTAACTTGGCTACTATTTTTCTGTTAATTTTAGCTACTTAATCATTCGCCCAAAGAAGAATTAGAAGAATTGCCTCCTCTTATTTCCTCTTCCTCCCATTTTCCCTCCTTCTTACATCTTTCTATAGTAAGTGTGTATGAAATTTGACCTTCACTTGATCCTGTATATAGAGATTTGCTTTCAGTGGTTATTACCAATTTGGATTCTAGCCTCACATTTTTCCACAGGGAGGATGAGAAAGGTATTCCAAGATTGCTTCCTTTCCTTAAAAGAACCTAAGAAAATGTTTTCCTAGAAATTAATGTCAATGATCAGTCTCATAAAATAAGAGAAAAATTCTGTGTGCACTAATCACTGTTAGGGGTATATTTGCTATTTAGTTTTCTTATCATTGGCAGGTTCTCTCTGGCGGCCGCATCCTAGCATTGACCAGTGCCCAAATCAGTGATACAGGGAGATACACCTGTGTGGCAGTGAATGCTGCTGGGGAAAAACAAAGGGACATTGACCTCAGAGTGTATGGTGAGACATTTTAATAATTATTTCTGCTCTGATATAGATAATTTTAGGTCCTAAGATCATGGAGGAAGTGAATTTGTTGATCATAAAGAACCATGAACAATAGAAATGATAATATTATATGATTGATTCCAGTCAAACTCTACCTTTCGAACTTATATTTGATTTTGACTGATTTTCCTTTTTTAAAGTGGTGAGAAATTAAAACATGCATCAAACATGAAGTGAAATGATTTTATAGAGTATTCTGGTAGAGAAATGATTCTATATAGTAATCTGAAGAAAATGACTATGGAAAGCAGCTCTACTTTTGGAAGTTATAATTAATTCACCAAAGCAATTATCTGTTCAGATAGCTCTCTCCATCTACTCAATTTGAAATTTTGACTATATTATTTTTTACTTCTATTTACAATAAGCAGTTTTTAAAATCAATACTATGTCCATGAATTAAAAGACTATTTGAGAAGTAAAATTGAACTCAGCATAAATTTAGATACAATTTAAATTTTTTCCTACCCACAGTGCAGCCATAAGGTAACAAGAGTGCATCAGATTCCATCAAAGAAAATTTCCAACAGAACTAATTTGGAAACTTACTGGGCTCTGCTTATGGATTATTCTTGTGGAATACAATCATTTCAGACTTTTTCTACTGTTGTTTGTATTATATCCCTTGATTAGTGGATAATGAATTTTTTTCTACTGAGGTCTCTAGTAAAATATTTGATAATACAGTCTCCTCCTCTAAGTCGTGCCTCACTTCCAAATAATTGACTCCTAATTTAAATGTAGTAGAGGGTCAGTGAAAAAGGGGAAGACCTTCAACGAGATGGACTGACACAGTGGCTGCAATGATGAACTCAAGTATAACAGTGCTTGTGAGGATGGCTCAGGACTGGGCGGTGTTTTGTTATATTGTTCATAGGGTCATCATGAATCGGAACCACCTTGATGACACCTAACAACAACAAATCCAAATATAAGACTTAATCTTTTTCCTCCAGACCACATGGATTGATTCCTAAATTTGCCAAAAGCAAATGTAATAATCACAAATGCTTATATAATGCTATATATAATTTTTCCTTATCAGAAAATAAAATATCCATATTCACAACATGAATGCCATATATACCTAATGAAGGTAAATGATGGATCCCAGTCATCATCAGTAGATTACCAAAAGGCTCTGTAGGCATCCCTCTTTTTTTGCCCTACTGGAGTTGGCATGTGTCCACATTCAATCTCCAGTTTTGCTGATGTAATGCATCTAAGATAATATATGGAATTATACTGCCCATCCCAGGGATCCTAACTGCCTTCTTTCATGGGGTCACTTTTTATAAAGAACTAGAAGGATGCTAATATAAAATGTTCTTAAAGAATAGTTTTCATTCAGTCTAAATGACACAATAGCTCCTCTAAACTCATAGAGAAAGTGACATTGATACTGACTGAGTTTTAGTTAATAGTAAAAATCTTGGATTAGATCCTTTCATTTCTATATTGCTTAGTGCTAAAGTGGGCCTGTGGTGATAGAGAGTTTATATTTTTGAGGAGTTATAGGAATGCATATCACTATTCTTCATCATTTGCTAAAATAATTTTTATACTACCCTGTAGGCTGAAAGCTAAGATCTTTCCTCCTAATCTAAAAGTTAAATGGTGAGCTGTTACATATGTATGCTGGAGGATATATACGTGTGTTTAGCATTTGAAACATGGCAAGCTATTAAAGAATTATAATTTTAGAACAGACTTTTAAATCTGAAATTAGTTTCCAATATATGCTCCACTATTAGTATTCTTCCATACATTATATTCTTGTATTTGTTGTAGTAACCTCGGCAATCTTATACTGAATTGGATTCTGTTGTTGTTGTTGTTGTTGTTGCGTGCCATTGAGTTGATTACAACTCATAGCAACCCTGTATGACAGAGTAGAACTGCCCTATAGGGTTTCCTAGGCTGGAATCTTGACAGGATCTAGATCTTTTCTCGGTGACACTTGATGTGTTTGAACTGTCTCCCTATCTGTTAACAGGTGAGTGCTTAACCATTGCACCACCAGGGACCCTATGGTTAATTAATCTGCAGAGAAAAATCCCCATCATTGGTTTACATTGTTGAGTGTATAGATAGTAGGAGAAGTAGAAAGTGATGAAATAGCTTTTTCTACAATTACAAGCAAATGCAACCACTGCCGTGGATCCTACTCACAGTGCCCCCTCCTTGGGTTATGAGGTGGTATCACTATGGAAGTAGATTGCCCAACCTTCCTTCCAAGGAGTGGCTGGTGGGTTTGAACTGCCAGGCTTCTTTGCAGTCAAATGCCTTAGGCACTACGCCACCAGAGCGCCTACAATTACAAGAGTGGTACATTAAAGAATTTTCTCCCAGGTATAAATTCAGATTATATTTTGCCATAATCTAAGATACTATGACAAGAGAATTGATTTTTACAAAATTTTGGATTCCTGTGGTACCTTTTTTAAAAAATTAAGTCCAGAGAACTTTCTTAGAGATCACACATTCTCCATGGTCTTGAGAAGTATAAACCTATGGTAAGTCCAATTTTGGTAATTAAATTTAACAAGTATCGAGCATAGGATGAGAAATTGGTCCAGAGTACACCCTTTCTTAAGCAACATAATGACAAAACAAAATAGGGATAAGATCTATGGAAGTTGAGGATCTAAAGGGTAGAACCTTGTTCTCCTCTCAGACTAAACAAAAATTTGGAAATGAGAGACAGGACATAAAAAATAGATGTGGCTTGGTAATATATATCCTCAGCTATAATTAGATTCACTTTAATTTATGTTCTTTTAAAAAAAAAAAAACAAATACTCTATTGTTTTTGCACTTTTTTCCTCTCAGTTTTAAAATTCTGGTTTTCTTTTGAACTTGATTCAAGTCATTTAGTTGTTAAAAAAAAGTAATTGAAGGAAAAATATTTGGAAATAAATTAGCTTTCTGATGTCTTGAATTGTTTCTGACTTTCACTTCTATAAACAAACATAAAGAATTCATGTTTTTTTTTTCTTTGAGAATTCTGCAAATAATCTAAGATAAACATGTTTTTATACAGTTATGGTACTTTGGTATCCAATGAGATCAGACTTTACCCAAAATTATTTCCAAGCTGTGAAGTCAGTTCAATTTAGGGCTTCCTGGCTAAGAAAAAGACTCATCAATGTATCTGTTTTCATTCTATTTTAGAAAGTGGCAGGAATTGTGCTTATATTGTTAATATTATAGCAATTTTAATCTCAAACAGACTGTGTATCTTTTAACCTAATGTGTTACATATCAAAAGCAATCCAACTGTTTTCTGTTCCCACACAGATTACATTAAGTTTATCAGGAGCCAGATGTCTGTGTGTGCTATTAAATTTAACAGGAAGATCATCATGAATCTATACAAAAGCTCTCTTGGTCCATTGCAGCCATCATGTAGGGTATTTCTTCCTTTAGCATCAATTCCTTTGAGTTTAACACAAGTCCTGCACCTAGAAACAGCACATGAAAATGTCCTTTTAGTTCATGTTCCTTTTCCCTCTGTAGCAGACATGGCAGCAGAGAAATCACAGAATTACAGAAATATAGTGCTGCTAGTCTAAATCAAGGAGCTCTGGTAGCATAGTGCCTAAGGCACTTGACTGCTAACCAGAAGGCTGGCGGTTCAAACCCACCAGCCACTCCTCGGTAGGAAGGTTGGGCAATCCTACTTCCCTAATGATACTGCCTCGGAAACCCAAGGAGGGGTCGCTATGAGTCGGGGCCGACTCGACGGCAAACAACAACAACAAAGTCTAAATCTACCATGTACATTCATTGTCATGTTTGCCACAGTTGTGTATCAAGCTTGAAACTATGCTAAGGGACTCCACTAATATTCCTTACCACAAAAACCTTATTTCTACCAAAGCAAAGTTACTTAGTATCCATTTCAATGCAATTTGAAACTTAATGTAACTGCTCTACAAATGTTTTCTGCAGTCCTGAGTAGTCATGGGATTCAGTGAGAAATTGTCAAGGAAATTCTTCTCTGTGTTTTTTCAGAATGACCTTTTCATAACAGGCCTAATTTAATCATTTATTAATATTTTCTGAATTATCCTATATAGGTCTGAAAGAATCCTTGAGAGGTTATGGAAGCCACTCTTTCATTTTCAGCAAGGATGCACCTAAAACCTCAAAAACAAGTAGCTGTTTATTTTTCATACACCCAAGGGAGGAGATTCCTTAGACTTCTCCAAGAACACATTTCAGCATCTGACAAATCTTATAGCCAGGGAATTCTAATTTTAATCTCATTAATATTTCAACTAATCTTCCCTTTGGGAGTATGTTGTGATTTAATATGTTCTTTAAAACCAAAAAAAAAAAAAAAAAGACTGATAGTTGGAGTGTGAGGTGGCTATTTCCTGAAGGGACAGGGTGGGGTCAGAGAACAGCAGCCCTCTCACAACCTGGGGTTCCTGCGGGCAAAGACGTGATGGCAGTGGGCTGGGCCCCTTTGTTTGGGCAGGTGTGGGGATGGGGTAGCCCCGTTTCCTTGAGGAAGACTCCTTTGAAAAACCTGAGTCTCTTGCTCATGCCGTTGAATAAAAATGTTGGTTCAGTGAGGAAAAAAAAAAATGAAAAACAAGTTCACTGCCATCGAGTGGAATCTCACTCATATAGTGACTCCCACTGGGTTTCCAAGGCTGTAAATCTTTACGGGAGTAGAGTGTACCATCTTCCTTCCACAGAGCAGCTGGTAGGTTTGAACCACCAGCCTTCTGGTTAGAGGCCAAATTGGCACTGTCACCAGAGCTCCTTTAGCATGTTCCTTATTGAGCCATTTATTTCACATGATATCATTCTATAGAAAATTGACAGACCACGTGGAAAACTGTAAACTGCACTAAACTCTGAGTCTCTGAGTACAAAGACTCCTAACTTGGCCAATATCAGTCATGTTATTTTGAACAAGCCATTATCTGTCACCCATTTTATTTTATTCATACTGTGAGGTAGAACTGGATGATTTCTAAGATCTCCTTTAGTTTTTTTTCCTCTGCTACTGTGAAGTTGCTTTCATTTGCCAAACATACACACACACACACACACACACAAAATACATGTTGAAAGTGTATTTGCTATCATTTATTGTTATTTTCAAAATACTTCATGAGCAATTTGTTATTTTTAAAACCTTAAGAGGCAACATCAAGTTCTAGAAGTTTCTTAGATGCACACTTACAAAGAACTTCCAGTACTAAAAGCCTTCTTAAAAAGTTATGAGAATTATTTCTGTTCAGTTGTTGTTGTTTGCCGTCGAATCGGCCCCAACTCATAGCGACCCCTCCTTGGGTTTCCGAGGCAGTATCACTACGGAAGTCGGATTGCCCAACCTTCCTTCCGAGGAACACATTAATCCATTAGCATGTGATTCTGAGCCAGGTAATACAAAGAAGGTAGGTTAGAATGATTATGACTCTGATCAAAATAGTTATTTAGTGTATATTGTGATATCTAATGAAGATAAACAGTACACTGGCCTGTTTTATCCTGATGGAAACTTATCTTTCATTAGTTCCACCAAACATTATGGGAGAAGAACAGAACATCTCTGTCCTCATTAGCCAGACTGTGGTGTTGCTATGTCAGAGTGATGCTATTCCCCCACCTACTCTGACTTGGTTAAAAGACAGCCGCCCCTTGCTGAAGAAATCAGGCCTCAGTATCTCTGAAAATGGAAGTGTGTTGAAGGTAAGGTTATCAATCCATTTATTTCTTTACACATTATTCTTAAACTCATGGTTAAGGTATTAGCCCCTATTAAAAGTACCTGTCTTCTAGGAATATCCTGCTAATTTCTTGTTTTAAAAGTCCAGGAACGATTTAATTGGTGTTGTTTGTAATATTTTTCAATTTTATGCTTAAGGGGAAAAAAAAAAAAAACACTGCCATCGAGTCGATTCTGAGTCATTAGTGACCCCATTGGGTTTCTAAGACTATAAATCTTTATGGAAGTATATTGCCTCATCCTTCTCCCACAAAACAGTTGGTGGATTTAAACTGCTGACCTTGTGGTTAGCAGCCAAATGCCTTACCCACTATGCTACAAGAGCTCCTTATACTATTCCCCCACCAACTCTGACTTGGTTAAAAGACAACCGCCTCTTACACATAGGAAATTTAAATATTTAATTGCCTATTGAAATATTAATATTTGTAACTAGGAGCCATCTCATAAAAAGAAAAAAAAAGTGCATCCAGGAAAATATAGAATGCTTTAAAGAGTGTCTCATCTTCACTCATTCAATCAATCAGCAAATACCCATTGTAGGTACTCTTGATAGAGACGCAATTTTCCATAGGTATCTTCTAATTTCCCATAAGTATATGAAAAATTAAATAACAATTCAGTTGAAAAATTCAATGAGTGCAGGAGGACTGAGTTAATTACCAAGTACGTGGTACAGACAATATACTTTGAGGTGGGGTGGCGACAGCGAAGGTGAGGCTATCGTTGGCTGAAGGATTCTTCTAAGGCTACTTGGCTCTTTAAGGATAGATGGGACAAAAGGGTTAATTAAAGAAAGAGAGTAAGCTCTTTGGCTGAAAGAATTTAACAAAATGAATATTTGGAAATAAAGTTGACAAGGTTGATTTGAGTGAATTAAGAACTGACACTGAAAGGCAGCAAAATGAGTTAGAATTCAGGAAATCAGTAAGCCATTGCAATGTTTATGTACCTCTTATAATGACCCAGTTGAAAAATTGAACAAATGGCCAAGTAACCTTCCCATAGTTCCTAAGTGGCAGAAATAGGACTTAAACACAGGGAATATGGCTTCAGAGTTCATGCTACTAAACACTGCACCAGATATCCTCTTGATAAAGGAAAGTTATAACTGGCAGACAAAGATCTTCTGAGAAATGTAGCTGGTGATGGGTGGCAGTGTGTAGGAATGGTAGTAGCACTGACAACTTACACAGGGAGAAGTGACAGGGAGCATGAAAATGCATGTGACAGGCAAGAGGATAAAGACCTCGGGTGTTAAGTTCTTGTAATTATGAAGCTGGGAGAGGAAAGAAGGATCTGGATCACTGACGGAGGGAAGAGGAATAAATCAATCAAGCTGCATATGCCAAAATGTGCACTGCCCCAAGTTCTTAAACCTCAATTCTGACTAAATGACGTGGGAAGATGATTATATGAACACAAGTCCCAACACTGCTAGGGAGAGCTCTGTGTGATTAGGATCATCTTAGTAAATTTCCATGGGAATAGGATCCATTTATCTTTAGAACACAGATCCCAATGGGGCAGGGGAAGCAGGAGGCAAGTAATAGTGAAGAAATCTTGAGATCCATTGAATTTCCACTGGAGATAAGCAGGAGGCCAGGAGGAGGATAGGGGAAGACCTGGACAATGAAAACATCTACGGAACTCACACTTAATTGGTCAGTTAAAATTATCATAGTTTTTTTTTTTTGAGATTATATTATATACTATGCATATTCAATACAATTCTCACACATCTTTAACCTGATCAAGTGACAGAATCTTATCATTTCATTTTGCCTGGCATATAGTACCAACTAAACCCAATGCCGTGGAGTTGATTCCAACTCATAATGACCCTATGTGGCTGAGAGTTTTGAACTGCCGACCTTTTGGTTAGCATCCTGGTGCCTTAAGCTTAGTGCCACCAGAGCTCTTTGGCATACAGTAGGCACTCAATAAATGTTGATCCCTCCTCTCCCCCTGCTGACTCTATTTATGATACATGACAGCTTCTGATTACTGACTTTCAGGATCTTGAGCCCAGATTTGAGTGATTCTGCCACTAATTATGAGAATTTGGTCAATTTAAATCTCTTCATTGATCCTGAGTTTCTTTATCTGTAAAATTAGAAGGTTGGAATTTAATCTACTTCCATAGTGTTGCCACCTCGGAAACCCAAGGAGGGTTTGCTATGAGTGGGATCCAACTTGATGGCAGTGAGTTCGGTTTGGTTTGGTTTTCAGGTCTAATATTCTTGGATTTTTCTATCTGTGCTTAGATTAAATTCCAGCTCTATTTGTTCACATCAATGAAGTAATAAGTGTTTAGTAAGGATCTACCATGCACGCTTTTGCTAAATACCTTCCAACCCCATGGCTCTCCCTTTTTTTTTTTTAAATGTTTTAGCAATTATTCAATGAAAACTCACTTGACAGTCAATCACATACTGCGTGTCATGCTTCTTAAATTAGCTTTCATTTTTACTTACACTTTGCATTATTATTAAACTCTTTTTTATGTTCATTGGCTTTATCTCCTTAACAATATGGGAATTAATTTAATCAGAAACCATATAGTAGAGTACACTTCTTTATATCTCCCACCTGTAGTTCATAGAGGAGCTCTGGTAGCACTTGGCTGCACCCAGAAGGCCGATGGTTCAAACCCACCAGCCACTCCTTGGAAGGAAGGTTGGGCAATCTACTTCCGTATTGATACTGCCTTGGAAACCCGAGAGGGGTCGCTATGAGTCAGGTCCGACTCGACGGCACATAACAACAACAACATAGTGCATAGCACAAATTTCTCATTAACTACAGAATGGTCAATGTATGAATGATTAATTAACATTGATACATGTTGCAGATAAATAGATGGAAAAATATTTGTTGAAACCCAATTGTCTACAAAACACTAGACTACCTATGAGGAGATTGAGGCTAATTAAATATAGTAACTGATTTGAGGAAGCTTACAAACCAAATGTAGGGAAAAGATACATAAACCACTAATAAGGGTGTTATTTTATTAAACAATATCTTGGGCATACAAGGATTGTATATGTTAAAACTCTAAAATATTTATCAGAAATTTTTATTTCTTTCTACTTTATCTCAATTGTGTTTAAAGGGCCTTTTGAGACTTTCAGCCACTAATATGTACTTGATTAAAACCAGGTTTGATATTGGTGAAAATTGTTAAACCTTGATAAAACCAAAAACCAAACGCACTACCACCGAGTCATATCTGACTCATAGCGACCCCTCCTTGGGTTTCTGAGGTGATATCACTCTGAATAATGAGTATATAGCCATTCCCTCTCCTATTCTCTCTGCTTTTTATATGTTTTTAATTATTCCCATCACAAAGAAAAATAAGAGAACACGAATAGCATTAATAGAAAATCCTAATTACTTGAGAAATAGAAACAGCAAAATCAAATCATGATTTTGTGTTCAGATTGAAGATGCTCAGGTACAAGATACTGGTCGTTACACTTGTGAGGCAACAAATGTCGCTGGAAAAACTGAGAAGAACTATAATGTCAACATCTGGGGTAAGTGTGATCAACCTCTGTAACATAAAATGCACAGCCTGTGGTTTAACCTGCTACTCTTTGTGTCAAAACTTAAAATTACATCTACAGAACTGAAATTGATTGTAATACATAGGTGGGCACTAAAAAGTGCTTTTAAATGATGCTGAACTGTCCTGAATATATATAATTAATTAAAGAGCAACTATAGATAGAATTCCTTTGCATAAACATATTAATCATTATAACTTATATACTATGATTCTCCTTTCCTATCTGAGCCATATGCCCTTTAGCTTCTATAACTAGGATATCATAATAATTGAATCTTCTCCAGGATTAAGTAATGGGTTGGTCATTTGAAAATAAGTCAGTAGGCCAAATTGTATGTGGAATTATGTGCCAGGTGTGTGTGTGTGTGTGCACGCATATGCATAAATATGAACACATGTATGATGGGAGATGAGGTTACTTTGCTAAGTAGAGAGAAGAGCTATTCTCTTGTTTGAAGTTTTACCTTTTATTACTAATTAAGAGAATCCTTAGGAATAATCATTACTTTTACCTCAATATGGCTATCTGCTTATTGTTAAGAAGTGCTTCCATTTCCAGTGTAGTTATCTTCATATTAAAAACTACTTTAAATTCCACCCAAATCACAATAAATAATTTTTAAAAAGCTGCTTTAAATTAATTTGTGACATAAATGACTACTATGCTGATGTTATTAATTTTGATTGTGTTTGTTTAAATTTTAATTATTGAAGCTATGAGCTGAAATTTACTATTATTTATAAAATTTTATTCAAAACATTTTAAAAATAAAATCAGTAGGGTAAATAAAATGATTCCAATGAAAGATGAATTATATTTTTAAAAACTTTAAAAGAATGCATTTATGTAGAAAATGACTTATTATTCATCATTAATATATTTTAAAAATTCTTGAGGCAGATTAGAGAAGTGCTATTATCCAAATTGCAAAAGGATTCATTTACAGTTAAACAGTACAATTTGATATCTAATAAATTTATATTTGCTATGTGTGGGTCATTTATTATTAACTCTTGCTCCTACCTCCTTTCCTCTTTTTTCCTATTTCTCCTTCCCTTCTTTCCTCATGCCTTTCAAATGGCTGAAATAGTCATATAGCTCCCAATATTAATAAGATATTAATTTAAAAATTAGAAAAATTAGGAGTGATGATCAGTAAGTAAGTGAAGTGATGAATTCATTTTGCAAGTGCTATATATGAGGTACCTGTAGATTATACATGTGAAGCTATCCTCCATGCAGTCAGAAATACAAGCCCATAGGAAAGAGATAAATGAATTACAAAGATTAAGTTGGAGACATGAATATATAGGTAGAAATTGAGATTTCTTAGAAATAATAAAGAAAGGATGTACAGAGAGTACTATGAATAGATTTAGCATAGTGGCTAAGACACTTGCCTGCTAACCAGACGGCTGGCGGTTCAAACCCACCAGCCACTCCTCGGAAGGAAGGTTGGGCAATCCTA